AACCGAAAGGAACTCATTTCAGAACACTGATCTACAACGACAAGAATCAGCAAGCCTGGGGACTGATCGTGCTGTTGGTGTCCAAGGCCGCTGGCCATGCGGATTCCATTCCGGATATGGAACAGGACAAAAGTGCCGGAGTGCTGCATTCCCAACGAGCGCTGGCCGAAGTTACGGAAATGATCCGCACGTCGCATCTGATCCACCAGGGGATGATCAATTTGCAAGCGATGGACAATGCTGGCAATGATCTGAGTGGAGATAGCGAAATGATATTCGGTAACAAAATGGCACTGCTTGGAGGAGATTACCTGCTGGCCAATGCCAGTCAACAGATTGCTTCTTTCAGGTATTTTCTATACTCTATTTCCTTCAAGCACAAACGAATAACAAGATCTGCTGCTTTCAGAAACCAAGATTTGAACATGCTCATTTCGTCGGCCTATCGAGATTTGGCTGAATCCAACTTCATCGGGGACCGAGATGAACAGAACTACCCACTTCCATCCAGACCGGATTCAGAGGTGGGTGGAAAGTCTTCAGCGGACTGCACCCTGGAAGAGCTCGGTTTCGGGGACCTAGAAGACAACACCCAACCAATGAGGATGGAAAATGCCATGGGCAATCCCGAGAAGGAATGGTCCCTGCGGCACGTGCTTGGCGGAGGAAGCCTTCTCGGAAAGAGCTGTCAGGGTGCACTGATGTTGGCTGGACAGCCGGAAGAACTGCAAAAGCAAGGCTACCTATTCGGCAGGCATCTCTCATTGGCGTGGCAAGCCTGCATCGATTTGCAGCCGTTCCTCTCCAGCAGTTTGCCCCTGGGAGCCCAATTCAGTCTGGTCTCGGCGCCCGTACTTTTTCACCTGGAGTACGAGCCCAGCATCTACGAAGAGCTGGAAAAAGGCAGCAGTTCGGTTGACGAAATTGATTACCGAAATCTGCACCGGGCCATCGGAACCGGACCGGGACTGGAACGGACGAAAAACCTCATGAGGAAGCACAGCCATGCGGCAATGCAGGTGCTGGATCGATTGCCTCCGTCCGATGCGCGAACGGCTCTACAGAATATCATTCTGGCCATGCAGGAGCTGTAAGAGACGAAAACGCATTCTCGCTGCGTGCGTGCGCGCACGCGCGCGTTTGTGTGTGTGTGTGTGTGTGTGTGTGTGTGTGTGTGTGTGTGTGTGTGTGTGTGTGTGTGTGTGTGTGTGTGTGTGTGTGTGTGTGTGTGTGTGTGTGTGTGTGTGTGTGTGTGTGTGTGTGTGTGTGTTGTGTTGTGTTTGTGTGTGAATATTATGCAAATCCTACTGAATCCGTCAACTGTCACAAGCATCGCTATGTTCTCCATTCTCTGTGTAAGGTAAGAATATTTAATAGCTTTAGATTTGACCATAATTGTACAAACAAACAGACATAGCTCTTAGAGGAACATTATTCAAAAAATATCGTCGAGCGTATTTTGCATGCACCCTAGCACCATAGAGGTAACTCTAAGACCAGAAGGTCCCGAAAAAAACGAGCTCAACTTTTTGGCTCAGCTGGTACTATCTTCGGTCCCACGCTAATCGATTCACCCCTCGAAACTTAGGAAAATCCACTAACCCCTCATTTTATCTGTCAAACTTTCATAGCGAATCAAAACAAACATAGTGTAGTACTAGAATTTCGACTAGAATGGGGTACGTTAATCGTTTGCTTGGGACCAATAGGCTAGTCAAGTAGTGAGCCAATTTAAAATCGTTAGTTTCCAAGGGTTGCCAGCACCCTCTATCATGCACATTCCCAAGAATTGTTTTGCAACCGGAGCATCCCTCGTTCATGCATTTTTTCACTAGCTACTTTTCCCTCATTCTGTCAACGCGCGTCAGCTGTGTTTATAAAAACAAAACAGATGGAAGTCAGTGATGTAGGTTCTACGAAATTTTCCGTAGAATTGATTGAATTTGCCAGAAATACGGATCCGTAGGAGAAGTTCACAGAAGCTCAGTCTTTTTAGGGATTTGTTTTGTTTGTTTAGTGCTATTTTTCTTTTGCTGGAAACAAGTTTATAAACGTGCTTATGCATCACTTAGTGGATTTTCCTATGTTTCGAGGGGTGAATCGATTAGCTTGGGACCGAAGATAGTACTAGCATAGAGGTAACTCTAAGACTAGAAGGTCTCGAAATAACGTGCTCAATTTTTTGGCTCAGCTCTGGTACTCTCTTCGGTCCCAAGCTAATCGATTCACCCCTCGAAACATAGGAAAAACCAATAACCCCTCATTTTATCTGTCAAACTTTCATAGCGAATCAAAACAAACATTGCGTAGTACTAGAATTTCGACTAGAATGGGGTACGTTAATCGTTTGCTTGGGACCAATAGGCTAGTCAAGTAGTGAGCCAATTTAAAGTCGTTAGTTTCGTATTGATTGTTGGTACTAGAGCTGAGCCAAAAAGTTGAGCACGTTTCTTCGGGACCTACTAGTTTTAGAGTTACCTCTATGAGATTACACTAATTAAAATGATTTGTTCAGTAGTAATGATCCGATTTCGTCGGCCCCTCATCGCATCAGACTTTTATCATTAAATAATTTCATAAAATCGTAATTCCAAATCATTCTCATGCATCTTGAAGAATGGGTGTTTAAGGTATACTTTGGTGTAATAAGACCACTGAAAAAGCGCATGGGTTTCGTAGAACATTAGAATAGAATTTCATAAAGGGGGTCATAAATCGGGTCATTACTGTATATGTCTCCACTGGGATGCATTGATCCCCTTATCATTCTCAAGAGCTGACATCTACTAAATTCAGCCATAACATTTGATAACGGCACAAAAGCATTTGTAAACAAACTTTCTAAGGCCCTTTACACGCGAACCAAAGTACGCCCACGCAAACCAATACCACTTTCGGATAGGTGATAGTTGCCCCTATACGATGATGTTGTTGGTTTGCGTGGGCGTACTTTGGTTCGCGTGTAAAGGGCCTTAGAAAGTTTGCTTACAAATGCTTTTGTGCCGTTATCAAATGTTATGCCTGAATTGTCCTGAAAAAGAACTGGCATCACTGATAAGTTCGAAATGTAGTGGCTTGCTAAACACTTCAGTGGCGCCACCATGGCAAATGCAAGCACATTCCCAACTAAAACCTTATTTGCGAAGAATGTGATTGTAAGAGTTATGTCTGTTTGTCTGCGGTTAAGTTCTAGTTGGGGCATAATAGCAAAAGAAGAAAAAGAAGAAGATTACATTTTGTTTTTCTTTAAACCATTTGGTACAAATAGCATGAAGCATGTTTGCAAAGCTGTGGTTACTCAATTAGAATATCGAATGAATTCTGAAATTAATAGATAAATGACCTGTCTGTATCTTGAAATATTAATCTAGACAACAGTTCGTATTAAGCAGGATGGACTGTAAATAAAACGGTAAGCTCAAAACGTAGTCAGAAATTAAACATATCAAGCTGAACATTGCATTAGGTCCTAACCCAAGTAGCATTGCAAGTTTTATCGCGGTTTAAAGCATTCTACAAGTCTAAATCATGATCTTCTGAACCTTCATAAAACCAAAATTGTTACTTGGGAAGTAACATTGACAGATTCTCTTCGTCGACTTTCTCTTTGTATCCCCACGGCCATGTAAAGACATTCCCATGTATTTTCAGCACACATATCGATAAAAGAAGCATTAATCTAGCATCTCATACGACAAACACGACAAGAAACGGTTATGTTCTCAAATTTATAACGAAAGAGGAAAGACGAAGAGAATAGATCAACATTACTTAGGACCTAATGCAATGTTTAGCTTGATATTATGGCATTAAAGAACACGCTAAACAAAAATAGATTAATAAAATCTCCAAAGCCAAGGTTCGTGCCCAATCACTCGTCTTGAGGTACACTTGAATACAGTTGAGACTCCAAATTTGTTTCGTAACTTGGTTTACAACTTTCATCAATTTTTAAAGATCCATATTGATGAGATTTGCCTAATTTCCGGTCATCCACCAGCATCTCGGAATCCAAACTATCATTAGAAGACGTCTTCAGACTTCCACTCATTATTATATTCAACATTGTTAAAGTTTAACATAATTTCAGATAATGTATTAGTATGTATAACAAACATGTACCACTTTGGTTTACAGTATGATTTTGTTTATTCAGCCAAAGAGGTACCAAAAAAAGAATACTGGTGGTACTAAAATTCGAGTTTCTTCAACATGTTTTTTTTTGTGCCTACACATTTAATAACGCTTTTTTGCAAGGCATATCTGCATATGTCAATATTGCATATTGCAATTTTGATGAGAATATGTAGAAAATAGTGTATTATTCAAGTTTTTTGAATAATAGTGCCCTTTTCTAAATTTTTTACTAATGGATATGTGCTATTATGCTATTATTCAACTATATAAGTTTATTAAAATTCATTCATCGCCACATACTTACCCCATAAACTAAATCAAGTGTGATTTCATTTCAGAACACTGATCCTCCAGAAAAACAAAGTACCATGGGTCCACTGATTATTCTGACCAAAGACCAAAGCGAACGTTGTTGCTTCATCCAGAATACGGAATACGTGATTGACAGAAAGTCATCGCTGAATTTTCCAGCCAGATTTTGGTGATTCGAAAGACAACATTCAACCGATGACCATCATAAATCACAAAATGTCATGGATATTCCTTTTCGAAATGAGCTTCCAAAGTGCGCTACTGTTGGCTGCCCATCCTGGAGATCTTCCGAAACAAGAATACTCATTTGTACAACATCTCTTTTCGGCATTGAAGACCTTGCAAGAAGAACGATTCTGAAAAACCATCACCCGAGCCATTCAGCAAACTGTAACGGTCATTTCAAAGCAGACAAAGTTTCTCGCTTTGAGAGGAAGAGGTCGCTTCATGACTGAAACATTATTTAAGTGCCCCCCTTGCATCGGGAAGCTATGTAGTTGTGTAAGTGAAACCGAAAACGAACGGGAGCGTGTGTAAAAAAAGTTCGGCAAAAACGTAAACAAACATTGCAGAAAGAATGAAACTGCTGTGGACGTGTGCGTGTGTTGGAATGTCATTCGGTCCGGATCCGCGGAACGAATGAACAACGTTTACGGTAAACACTTACATCACAGAGAGCGACTGACTGTGGACAACGGGAGTTAAAATCGGTGCCGTGCCGGAGTTTCTATCGGGTGCTAAATAATAATTTATGCCGAAAACAAGTTTCTGTTTTTCGGTGATGCTACGCATGGTTTATCCCAGCTGCTACGTGTGATGCTGTCGTCATTCAATTGGTAGTGATTGTGTGATTTGGACGTGCCAAACGGAAGCTCGAATCAACGAAACTACGTTTGATTTGGATTTATGTGAATTTTGGAAGCGGCGAGAAAGTACCTACACACCCGCCCCGACGTGATTGCGAAGAAAAGTTTTGTGATGTAAATAAAAAGGAAAATCGCATTGTCGTTGTGTTGGAAACAAGCAGTGCTGAAGAAGTGTAAATAAAGGTATGTAGCTCAAGATCATCATTCATAATCAAAACGGTTTTTAGTGTTGTAGGTAGTACCGTAAAAGTATCGATTTCGGCTAGTTTTAAATTTAAGTGAAAATTAGATTTTGATTAATTTTGAGAAGGATTGTTTAACAATCGTTTTGAATATTTCTTTTAACCCTTTTCCGCTTATCGTTTAAAGAGGCCCTTCCATGAACTACGGAAATAATTTTAAACAGATTTCAGAGCCCCCTTCGCTCCATAGACAAATATCATACACATTTTAAATTTTATAATTCGTATATGTACTCGTTAACATAAAGTATCGAACTGGTTTATGGACGAACCCTAACTATGATATTATCTAGGACACTAATTTTTTTTTGAATTTGGAATCATGACTCAAGGGAGTTTTGAGCCAATTTAAAGGGAATTCGAAAGGAAGATGTGCGTGAAATTTCTTACAAAATGCTTTGGATATTTTCAAGGAAGTTTTATCGAGGAATTCAAGTTAATTTTAAGTAGGATTCTACAGCAGAAATAGAATTCCATGGCAATTCAGAGGAGAAGCCATTTTGCGGAATAAAGTTTTGAGGAGTATCTCCACATGAATTCTGAAAACATTTCCATTTGAGCTCCAATGCTCCGGGAATAATTCCAAAGAATCGAGTTTTCGGAATAGTACCGAAGAAATTCTTGAGAGAAATCCAAGGAAATTCTGAAGAGAGCTTCTGGGTAATTCTCAGAACCGCAACCGTATTGGTGCGCTGTTAAAGCTATTTTAGTAGCCCCGCTTCATTATTTTGTTTAATGTGAAATTTGTTATGAAATCATTTGTAGTGATGATAAAAGTATTAATTTGGATATGGAACCGGAATGTGGACTAGGACGGTCCTCCGAATGATCTGGAACATCTGTAATTGACGAATTAATTATTATAACTGATTCAAGAATTTCATTTGAAATCACATGGCCTTAACTCCATTTTGTAAACAAACTTTTGTAAGGCCATGTTCTCGCGAACCGAAACCTTCTGTCGCAAACCTTAACCACAATCGGGTGGAGGAGAATTTCCCCTACCTGTTCATTATGTTGGTTTGCCTTTGCGGACTTCGGTTCGCGAGAAAATGGTCTTACGAGGTTTGTTTACAAAATGGAGTTAAGGCCATTTCAATTGTTAGCCTTGATGTAGTGATGAATCGTGATTGAATATCTGTAGTCGGAATGTAGACTTAGAAGGCTGTGATCCTACACAGATAAAAATTCTGAATTTTAATTGTGATGTAAACATTCATTCACGTAAACTTATTCATTACATGATATATAATGTAAACTTATATGATATATGACGCTCCATTTAGGGTAGTAGAGCACTACTTCGTCGTAATCGCCCATTTCCGTTCTATCGATCAGAAAAGATCAATAATATCAATGATTTCACCGTGCACATTTCAATAATAGGTTTGTTCCGATGCGTTAGTTCATTAGCTACAACATAAATCCTGTTAGAGCGCATTGTACAAATATTTACGCTAATTGTTCTCAAAACACAAGAAGCGCTTCTAGCGAATCCCCTTTTTCTACGTTTATCCGTAGGACGAAGAAAATCTAAAGGCGTTTCAATGCGTTAGGACGGAATTGAAACTCGTAGAACGAATTTAGAATCAAGAAGCAGTGTTAGATTTTAGACAATATCTCAACAATTTGTGACTATTTATCAAACCATCTTTGACATAAATATTCCATTTTTTGTTTAAACTCGTTCAGAAAAGAGAGGTAAAGCACGGGTTGTGCTTAGTAGGACGGAAATTGAATCAAAAACCCTATGTGCATCATATTGAACAGAAATTCTTTGAATTCTTTTGACATCAGTTGAAGTTTTGAATGAATTTTGATCTGTAACTTGACTGTAGACTCTGGGATCACATGATGATCGTCCGGAAGATCTGGAACATCCGTAATAGTGGTCAATTAATTAAACTGATTCTAGAGACACGTGATTTTTTTTTTTTGGGTCACTCGAATCTGGGATCGAAATGTGAACTTAGGGATGGGTGGTTCTCAGGATGACCCTGAACATTCGTAAAAATGGTCAATTCTCGAAACTGTTCTAAGACCTTCTCAAAATCTTTTGAATGCACTTGACATGGGAATGAATTTGAATCTGAGTCCGGAACACTGGTGGCCATGCGGAAAATCGGAAGATCTGTTGAAGTGTTCAATTCATGAAACTGATCGTAGAGTTTCAGGCTAGGGGTATTCAACTCTGTACACATTAATTCGTGCCGAGTAATTGAGTTGTACCGAAAGCTGGGCCGAGCGCTGTGCCGAACGTGCCTCTCAAGGTCAATCAAAATATGCCTATCAAGGCATCAATATTCCATGAGTTTGGTAACCCTCAAAGTTATGACTTTTGTGATTGTGTTTACATTCTCAATTTCTCTGATGGATGGATGGCAAGCATTCAGCTTCATTCTCATTAGAGCGTTAGCGGGTCAAGAGGTGTAAGAAGAACTAGAAACCATCAAACCAATATGTTGTTCAAGCAAATTCCGCATTGCTCGATGTTCTTTTGAATTGTTGATTCCTTGCAGGTGTACAGAAACAAAGGAGAAACCCGATCGATGAAGAATGAAATTCCCCCCCGACTAAAGTAAACCCAGAACTGGAACGAGCGACATTGCAATCCCACGCTAGGAGCAACATCGTCGAATCAGTTTTAATTCATCTGATCGACTCAGAAGTGCGTGTCCTCAAAGATATAACCCAAGCCTATCGTATTGCTGATTATGTTGCCTTCTACCACCTCCTTGCCTACCAAGCTACGATTTGATGCAGTTGAGGTACTTTCTGCAATGTACCACCGATGAAAACTATCAAACATCTCCCCCTTACAGACGTGGGCGCAGCATTCTATGCTATAAAGTCCTGTGGTCATTCCATCGAAGTCCATGCGAATTGAGGCTAATGACTGACAAGAATATCCGAGGAAAAACACAGGAGAAAATGTGAAAATTTCTGTCCCGAAGACACTCGGCAAGACCGGGATTCAAATCTGGCCACCCCCTATAATAAGCTTGTGTTCTTCTTTATTGTCCATTCTGCATAAATACAATTGTTAATGTACCTCAACTCTCGCAGAAGATCCTGCTCGGATCCTTCGTTGTACGCTTCGTATGAAATGCTAAGTTCAAAAATAAGAACTGTATTCTGGAATAACGCCTCCGATGAGTGACCTTTGGATAAACCATGTGGGCGAGAATGTGAGCAGCGTTGGGAAAGTTTGCGATATTTCACGAAGTTCATCAAGGAAATCGTGAGTCGTATTGAGTTTTGGTGAAATTTTCCAATACTGACTGTAAGGATTCATCAAGCGCGATGCTCATAGTTCCTTCGTAGTTCTTTTCGTACGAATAACAGCATAGCGTAGGTGTTCCACCATCCCCGTCGTATAGTTTAGATCTATTTGCTTAATATTAATGAAATTGTTGTTGCAGCCAACCGTCGGGCATTTTTCACAATTATTCCATCGTCGAAAACGAATCGTCTCTAGAGGTAACCTATTTCAGCCGTCTGACTGCCGTACCGACAAGAACTGGCCATGGTGTTCTGGATCATCAGAATGATCATCTAGTGGCTTCCAAGATCCACATTCCGGTCACAAGATCAAATGTTGACATAAATTACCATAGTGCTGATCTCATAGTATAAACAACCGGTGGAAACTAACGATTTCAAATTGGCTCACTACTTGACTAGCCTATTGGTCCCAAGTAAATCTATAAGCGTACCCCATTCTAGTCGAAATTCTAACGTCTCTTTGAGACCTTCTGGTCTTAGAGTTACCTTTATCTATGATAAGAACCCAGATTTGAAACTACCGCTCCGACGGTCTAGAAAGCGTGCCGTGGCTAAACGCTGAACAGCGGAGACTTAAACTAAGGAAAATGGTTCCTTGGGAGTAAAACAATGGGAGGTCTTATTTATAGGGAAACTACTGGGCAGTTGGGTTAGGTATATTACCTGATTCTTTTGATTAACGCGTTCCAGAGTTTTTCTTTCACTTAATTTAACTGGAAAGTCACTTCGACTTGAATTATCACTTGTTTAAACACTTTGGCTTTTATCTGCGAACTATGCTCCAAACCTCCTTCGAGAAGAGCTGAAGTGGAAAAGAACTTGCCCATTCGATCTGACCCAGTAGTAACCTCGATTTTTACCTATTTGGAGTATGATAGGCTCCCTGTTTACTTCATACTTTCCATTTATTTCCCTCTTCTATGATCCGATCCTGTCTGTGGTGTCTGTATGGGAAGTGTACCTTATGTTTAACAAATTGTGTTCTGATAATTTTAATTTGACCGTTTCTTTGGAGTGGTATGTTTAATATGTTCTGTTATCCTTTACACATTTTCATTTGTTTTTAATAAATTAAGTTTTATAACATAGAACATTAGATAAATAAACAATAACTTTATGTATAACAGTTAAATAAATAGCTTAATATAATAAATAACCTCGTAAATAACTCAATAGTATATTGATATCAACAGTCGGCCTTGCTCGTTCATACTTAATAGCAGTATAGATTGCCGATATTTTTTTTTTCCTCTGTTCGGGACCTAATACTACTGCGACCAGTAAATTGATGTATTGTAGTATATCCCGTGTCCTTAGTTTAGTGCATGTCGTATTACTCCATCACTATTGAGAAATGATGAAGTATTCGATTTTTTTACAGATGCCACTCTTGCATTTATCGCAAGGATCCGACTCTAATTGAACGGTCCCGCTATTTATACCCTTCGGAGTGTTGAAACACCCTCCAAAGGCGCGCCCCTTTGTCAGTCAAAATTGGATCCCTAAGCAACAAAATTAAGGATGACACCGATAATGACCATGCATCAGAACCCTAGTCTTAACCACTTCAAACTAAGGAACAACGAAGAGAAGATTAGGAATCACATAGATGAAGACAACTAACTCATTTTTTTTTGCCTTGTTTCAAGATCATCCTCGGTAGACAAAGCCGAGTCTTGTCAGTATCAACGAGGCATAAAAAGTAACAAGGACTAAGATGTGTTCCTTGAATTACTGAAAAATCCTGTTCCCCTAGTTTGAAGTAGTCAGGACTAGGAATCGGTGGTAGATCTTACATCCCGTAACGTACCACGAAAAGGTGATCTACCCACTTTACGGGGCTAGATTGCCGATACCTATATACCGATACACTCAATGACGTTTATACAAGGCCAAAGGGCTTGTTGGTGTTAGTGACGTGTGCAAATGTTTGTGGTGTGCGTATTTTATTGCAATGTTTATCTTTTTACACGAAACAGCTGTTGGCAGTGACGTATTTCTATCTGTTCGCAGATGTTCAGCAATGTTTACAACATTTTTGCTTCTAACACCAGCAAGCTGCTTGTTGGCCCAGACCTTATATAAATGTCATTGACCTACACTCACTCTCAACGCTCAGTGCTGGTGATATAGGGTAAACTACCCAAACGGTAACAGAGCTCAGTGATTAATTTCAATGTAGTTCTGAGTAAAATTACAAACTACTGAGGAAAATTCTATGAGGATTGGGAAGAAAATTTTAGGTGAACTCTAGGAAGAATTTGATGCGAATTCTGAAAAGAATTCAAAGGATATAATATGCAAAAAATTGACACAACTCTGAGGGAAATTTTAGAATAAACGTATCTGCTTTTGTAAATAAAGATTCAAAGGTTAATGTTTTGAGCATATTACTTCGCCCACGCAAATTAATTTCTCATCAGGTAGGGTAAAGTTTTGATGTTTGTGTGGGCGAGGTAAGAGTTTCGGCAAATTGACGTTTGCATTTTGGTTCACAAATGCAGGAAAGGCCATTTGCAAATTCATTCTTGATTTCAAGGGAATTTTTTGAAGCATTTCATTCAAATCCTGAAGATAAAGCCAAGAGAATTCTGAAAAGTGGTTCTGTTTTTTTTTTACTTTTGTGCAAAATGCGCCAAATGTTTATGATGCACATAATGTATGTAATAAGTGCGTGCCCCTCGATTTTTTTCACGTTTGACAGCTTTGCTGACGCAGCCAACTACGATGAGTGCAGCGACCGACCGGCATCTCGTAGGCTGATGCAATTTATTCGTTACTATTGAGATTTTCACGTCCGGTTATATTGGGGCGATATGTGAGAGCGTGTTAGAGAATATCCGAGGAAAATACATAACAAATCGATGTCAAACTCATTTTGACAGGTCTACTTTCATACATTTTTTAGGTTAGCCAGAGGAAAATAATAAACAACTTTACACGGTGTTGCATCCGCTAGTGTGCGTGCGTTAAACGTCACTAATCTCTATACTACCGGAAGAGAAAGACGTTCAACGAAGTTTCTTTAAAGTTGTTCATTAAAGCATGTGCGTTAAGTTATTCTTTTATAGAATCAATTCCTTCAGTTTCCTCGTCAGTATATTGTATACCAGTAGAAAGTAGATATAATTCACTTTTTTTTTCAATTAATAGTAATAAATATTGACACATACAAATGTTTTACTAAAAGTACACTCAAAATAATCCTCACATCAATGCTACGTGAAAACACACATAGATTTTTTCCATCGCATTTAACACGTAAGACTAACGTGATTCTCATATGGAAGCGCTCAATTCAGTGAGCTTCATCGTCACTGGAGTATCACGTAGAAGTTACGTGATTCTTTCGATAAAATGCATAGTGATTCTAACTGATTATTTAATTCCGATTCGATTTTAATAAAATGTATTCCTTATTTCTTAATAGACATACATAAATAGACAAAAAACACATTGGCATTAAACATATAATGAAATAAAATTCGACAGAGACAAGAACACTAACAAAATGCATCGGCTTATAACTTCCACTTGACTTGAAGCTCGATTTGAGGTTCATACATGATGGTTCTTTGTCGTCATACTAAACAAACAACAATAGTCTCCTTGTAAAATTTTAATTAATTATACTTACAACTCGAAACATTCTCAGTAAAGACCAAACCAATCTGGATTTCAATGGCATGTAAACATGCACAATGAACTAGCGCCATATTGTATAGCACTATGAGTGAATCACTCATTTTTTTTTTCAGACGTGAAAATCACTTAGGGTTTACGTGAAACGAACGTAGAATCTGTGTATGTGTAATTCACGTAAACGTCATTAAAAAATCTAACGATTTCGAAAGGAGTTTCGGTTCACATATAAGTGGTATCATGTAGAGTTTACTTGGGCCACGTAAAATTGACAGCAAAGGAAAATGAGATACCCTACGTGATTTTTCACGTAACAACAACGTGTCGATTATTTTGAGTGTAAAACACTTGGAACCTACACAGTTCGAAAAAGTAGTGTGAATTTCTGTTACTATCAGGGTGTCGACTACCTGAAAACCTGGAAAGTCAGGGAATGTCAGGGAATTCTATTTATGATCTGGAAAGTCAGGGAATGTCAGGGAATTTTAGTGTAGGTCAGGGAAAAAATAATGTTGATCACATTGCAAAAAATCATGTGACACATAAAAACAATCTTTGAAATTTTATCAGTGCATGACGTCAAAGTTTTTGGGAAGATCCTGGGCATCAGATCTACTCGCTGCGTTTATGGACGCCCTTGCCAGTATCTCTTCGAACAAGTTGCTGCAAGTGTCCATGGATGGGCCCAATGCGAATTGATGCTAGATGTACAAAAAGGTGCCGAGAAGCTGATAGATCTGGGAAGCTGTGGGCTGTATATTTTGCATAATGCATTCAAGGATAGTGTTTGCAGTATCAGTTGGGATGTTGTCAAATATTTGCGTGGTATCTACAATATCTTCAAAGATGTACCAGCAAGACGAGCGTTTATCACGATGTATTCTGGATCTACCATATTCCCGTTAAAGTTTTGCGGTCACCGATGGTTGGAAAATAGTGCTGCTGTTCAGAGGGCAATCAAAATTACTCCGCAAATACGAAAATTTATTCAAGGCGTCCAGAAAGACTAAATCGAACCAACGTCAGCTTCCTACCAAGATGTTAAAAACTGTTTGAATGACTCACTGCTGATGGCTAATAGTACGTTCAGACTACAGATTTATAACATGTTATAGCACTATCTTGATGGTGGTTTCTGTGTTGCAATTATTTGACAACCGTTATAACTCTGTAGTATGAACGTGATATTAAGCTAGCTTTCTTCAAATCAGTTGCTGTCGAAGTTGAGCCATTTCTATGCGAATTTCAGACGGAGGTGCCTTTTTTTTGCAACGCGATGTCTCAAATGGTTAGAGGCATTATGGAAAGGTTCATTAATGAATTATTGGATGGATTACTCATTATTGGTCGGCGTATTCAGAACTATTGTTGGTTGTGAAAATGATTTGCTGCTTATCGCATGGCAACGCCAATACAGAGAGAGGTTTTTCGGTAAATTCAGAATATCTTTTTGAATACATGAGGGAAGAGTCAAGGCCCAAGCGCAATGACAGTGGATCGGCAGTGGTAGCGGAAAAGCCCGATCTGAGTAAGCCTACTTGTCGGATTGAAAACTAGTTAGAATCAAATCGACTGCGGTTAGGTATCTTGATGTCATTTGTGACAATTGTCAAACTTGCCGTTTCCGTTCCGCTTGCGCCCACATTGCATGTGGGCCTTCAGTCGTAGCGCGACGTCAGATCTATGATGGTGTTACTCATGCAGGCGGGTTGGAAAACTTAAAGATTTTGAATGAACTTATTCAGCGAGTTCGAAAAATCGTATTCGCTTTCTATGTAGACAAGGATCGTCGTATGAAAGAAGTTCTTGATTCCGATAGCTCAAGATGCTCAAAAAGAAGCCGAGAGTTTGCAGGAGAAAATTGTTCTGCTCGAATGATAAACATTTTTAAAAGTAATCCGAAAATAAACACATATTCAACTTGTAATTTCTCGTTATAATAAAATGTTAATGATAATTAAACTTAACTCATTTTGCCATGTCTGCGGTTGTCATATGGAGTTCCAGAGAGTACAAAACTAACTAATGCATGAGCAGTGCGTCCTCAGGTTCGGTTGCCAAAGCAAGAATAATCACTGCTCTATTATTTTACAATAATTTATATGTTAAGAGAAAGGATCGTCTACGAGTTGATTTTTATTTGGCTGTGAAATTATGAACACAAATTGAGAGCTTGGTGACATTAATTAAACATTCCTATTATTACTTAGTAATGAATAGTAAGCCTAGTTGTAAGCAGTAGTTATTCATTATTATATTATAATATGTATTTATAGCCCTAGGCCTATTAACATCCTTCGTAGGTAGTCGGTCATATGTTCTGTAAAAATTGTATTAGTATCAAGTTCTGTTGTACGTGCCATGAGTATGCTATTCCTGATATTTTCGAAAGCTTACCCTGCTGCTCATTTTAAACTAACCTTAATTTGCACTACGGTATAATAAAGCACATCACGTTGCAGTTTCTTAGGTTAACATAACGGAGTTTTGTGAACTGAAATTTTTCTGAAAACCGACTGGAAAGTCAGGGAAAGTCAGGGTTTTTTTTCGACTTTGAGTCGACACCCTGACTATGATGCACATAAATGGAGCGATGGTCCTCTGTATATCGAGTACGGGAGAGTTGACTGTAGTTAAACATATTTTTTTCATATTCCCCAGTTAATATCAAAAATGTTTTACATAAACATTGCAATAAACAATTCTACACTGACATGAGGATAATTATTAATGTTTTATAAAATAGTTATTAAAAATACGTCCATCATACGTCACAATCGATTCACCTAAGCAGTTCATCCTACTCCAACTAACGATGCGAGACAAACATCTCCCGCACCCAACCGGTTTTGCCCATCAACTAATACTAACCCTTTTTCTTGATCTGCACTTCCAGCTACCGACAATCGCCGACCGGACGGTACACGGAAAGGAATTTTTACCTTTTCTCTTCGCACATTTCTTGCCGAACCTGAACCCTGGCCAGTGAGCGCGCAGATACCTACCTACCCATCTTAGTACCAGACAGTCACCTGTCCAACATAGTCGAGCCACGGTGAGTGAGCAACGTGCTTGTGTGGTGTGCGCGCGCACGTACGGAACTGTTCCACTTTCACAGTTAGTGAAGCCAGTGAATCGTAAAAGTAAACTCACCTCCCACCGAAAAAAGGCTGATTGGGAAACCTTCGGAATACACAAACCTTTAAAAAATGTCCCTGAGTCGCATCTGCTGCCTGCAGTCCCACCTGCGGATGGTAAGCAAAACCAGCAGTCCTACGGTTCTGAGATCAGCGCCCCGTCATCGTCACCCAGTGGTCAACCTGCGCGCAATCAGTTCCACCGCGCTGGTTCGCGACAAACAAGCAGCAACGGCTAGCACGGCCAAACCCGTCCAGAAGCAGCACGACTGGAATCGGGCCGTGAGCGAAGCGGAGAAGATCGTTGGTTATCCGACGTCCTTTTTGAGTCTGCGCTGGCTGCTGAGCGACGAGATTGCCAATGTGGCACTGCACCTGCGGAAGCTCGTTGGCAGTAACCATCCGCTGCTGAAGACGGCCAAGTAAGTTCAACCTGTTGTTGTTTGATATGGCACTGATTTCTGTTTCTCCATTTGAGGAACGACCTTGAGAGGAAGAGGTTTGAGCGTTCGCAGGGGTGTGACGCGCTTTCTAGTTTCATCTCGGGTTTTTGCTTCTTTCTTATGAGTGATTTGTATGCGTAAAGCGTGGCGCTTTTCGCACATGGGTGTTTGATAGCAGATACAGTATGAGAAGGAATGTTTACAGCGTGGAGTGGTGTATCAGATATTGCGGAATATTTGCTTAGCTGAAAAATGTGTTAACAATGTATTCAAATACTGAATTTTTACTACACCGGAGCAGTGAATTATTTTGTGGATCAACCTGTAAATACTTATCACTTGAATGAATGATTCAGTTCTTTTTTACGTGATTTTTTTTTTTCAACGCAAGTGTTGTTGGTGTGATCTTAACCCTCCAGTGCTCAGAAGGGAATTGTTAAAGTAAACTTATTTTTATTTAAACCTTGCTATTTGGAGGGTAGGCACTTATCCGGGTAAACCGGGACAACCGGGAAGTGATCGGGAATAGAAAACAACCAAGAAAATCCGGGCAATAACCGGGTAGTTGTAAAATTATGTTTATTTCTGTTGCTTATGATAGTACATTGATTTAACATTTTAATTGATTAGCCTACCTGGCTCTTCATCTTTGTTTAATTTGATATTCTAATTTAATATTTGCGTTTTTCAACTAGTTTACGGAATACCCCTTTGGGGTGTGTTTTGTTTGAATTGAAAAAAGTGATAACCTACCTAACTACGAGTATATCTTAACCTAACGTGCTAGATCACGTATGATCTGATGATTTGATCTCAGACAGGTGTCTGTGAACCTTTCCAGGATGAATACTCTCCGTTCTTCTAATGTCTGAATTCCAGCCAGGCGGTGAATCTCAGAATTTATAGTCCGCGGGGACTGTTTAGGACCATCCTAAGGATCTTGTTCTGGATCCTTTGGAGTTTAAGGTGATGGCATTTGGCGCAACTATCCCAGATTGGCATCCCGTATTCTATTACGGGAAGGATGATTTGTTTGTAGACAGCAAGCTTATTTTTCAGGGATAGAGTAGACCTCCTGTTGATGAGTGGATGCAGTGATCTTATCAAGATGTTACACTTGGTTTTGGTTTTGTCAACGTGGTCCCTGAAAATCAGCTTGCTGTCTAGTGTTAAGCCGAGGTAGACTACCTCTTTCGACCATTCCACCACTGTGCCGTTCAGGCAGATCTTATTATTCACCGACGGAACAAGTCTGAGAGATTTTAAGTGTGGAAAGTGATGACCTGGGTGGCAATAACCGGAAATTTGATTTGAACCTATAAATAAGTTGATTTGCTTTATCTATCTATTAGTCGAAATCTGTAAATACAAATTCTAAGTCCGATATCTTGCATATTTTATCAAGCTCGCAATTTTCAACTTTCCCTATGCCAAAAATTAAGACTGAGATCGACACAAATGAGCAATGTCCCAGAGTTTCATAAATTTTTCAAGTTCAAGATATTGAATTTTTTTTCTAAATAATTCCAGGGAGAATTATCCACCCTCCCCTTGGCTAGTTTTTAACCTGGACGTTGGTGGGCGGGCCTAATCTTATGCTTCATAGTGGAGCGTTGGAGACGGTTGGTTTAGGTCCGGCATCGTTGGCTCATGCCGTGACAGAATAGCGTCATGAGCATGCGATGAGGATTACTGAGCTTCCCCTCTCTGATGAACCATTGCATAAGAGAACCAAAGTTCTAGCCTGAAGTGATAGTATCACACTTGTTACTCCTTTATTTGAAAGCCGCGTTGTAGTACGCTTACGTATAGGCACTGACGTTGGGTGCGATACTGGCGGGTTTTGCCGCAAATCACTCTTATTTTATTTATTTTTACGCAGATAGATTTATTTGGGTTTGCAAGGGAATTATACTATTGAAATATTTCAGAAAGTGCTCAACAGTACTCCTTCTACTTGCGTGACAAGTTTTCGTTGTTGTTTTCATTGAGGTATTACTCAGGGAACAATGTTAAACACCATTTTTGTACATGGTATTGCAACTAATCTTATATGTGCTTCATTTTGATTTGGGATAAGTGTTTGAAATATGGCTCGGGATTTCCACTGTGGCGTGCTTCTATTGTGACATATCCATACGTAATTTTGTGGGACGACATAGTGGAAACGTGTGAGTGTAGTTGGAGCATATACCTTATATAATTTAAAAATCAGCTAGGAAACTAATTTCAAAGTGAAGCATTTTAGTCACTTGAAGTTGTCACCTGGGTCGATCTAAGATATAATAAATATAGATCAAAGTCAAAATTACTTGAAACACGTTAAATTTTAGATTACATAGCAGTTTAGGTACTTAATAAAGCATGAGTTATGATTGATTAGGTAAATTAGAGATTTCAATTATTTATTAAATTAGACTAATGAGATATCATAATCATCAAACGAACTTAAATAAGAAAATTTAGACACCCTAATAACATTAAGTAGATTAACAAAAGAGTTAGGATGCGGGGGGTCCGCTTAGGGAGGCAACTAGCCTATTCATATATTGTCTGTTTATTTTGATGGTTGCTTTAAAATATCAATTTGGTATATATGTGAAAGGATGAATCAGTGGGAGATGGATTTTCGGTTTCTTTACATTTTGCAACACAAATCTAGTACTATGTGTCATTTCCTTAAAACCCCCCAATAACCGACCTCTTCAATCCCTTCCTTTTCCCATGGCGTTCAAGTGGTCCGCATAGACTATTCAGCCATTACCCTTCCTTTATCCTCGGCTTTGGATTGACTTGCGCTCCCATTGCCCCACCAAACGCTGCAAAATGAAAATGAAAATAATTCCAGGGAGAATGATCTATGCCTCAGGTACTTGATTTATGCTTGCTTCGCTATCTCAAAAGTTTTTCACTGTCCGATGTCCCGTAGTTTGAATTACTTTGTAAGTTTTTGAACCTTGAAAGCTTTATTTCATGTCACAGATTCTAGAAAATTTCTCCTCAGCATTCTCTTAAAGTTTACCTTTGGATTTTTTTGAAATTATTATCTGGATTATCTAGGAATTATCTTTAGCAATACCTTGCTGTTGGAATATCACCAAAGGTTTCCCATTGTATTGTTCTAACATTTCCTTGAAATTCCCATCAGAATTCCATGGAACTGTTCACGAAAGTTCTCTTAAAATCCTTGTTAAAATGAATCTCTTGAAATTTCCTTGGCATTCTTTTGAAACTCTCCTTAAAGATCTATTGGAACATTCCTCTGAATCTTCCTGGATTTGTACTCAGAATTCTTAAGACATTTAACCCTTTAAATTACATTACTATTATCTTTGGATTCCTTTCAGAAAGTTCTTGTAAACCTCTCAAAATTCTAAAAAGTTTCCTAGGAATTGCTTTGAAACTATCTTCAAGCTAGCTTGAAATTCAACAGATTTTTTTTTACTATCGTCAGAATTAGATTCCCTTGGAATATTTCCATGGAGCTCTCCTCTAAATTTGCTTTGCAAATAGTTTAAAGGTATCAAAAAGGACTCTACTTAGCTAAGTACCACGTAATTAGAGTGTTACATAGACAATTTGATTATTAGGGACAATGCGAGTGTTGTTGCTAAATCATCATTACAGGGCCGGTAGCGAGTCACTTTTTAGTGACTTAGTCACTTTTTTCAAGACAGTCACTAAAAAGTCTATTTTTTTAAGGCCAAGTCACTAAAGTCACTATTTCTTGTAATCAGTCACTATTTTCAACTTTTTTTTAGCGTGAATTTATTTCAAGATTGATCATTCTTTGCTTCAGGCGTTTAATCGTCTTTCTCTATCTACAGGGTGTTTATTGATTTTTCTAAATAAAATTATCTGGCTGTTCCAGGTTTTTCCAATATTTTAACGGATAAATAGGGGAATTTACGTATTCTCGTCAGTCTAAGCAGCGTCCGAACTTCTATTAGCGATTTCTCAGCGTCACACACATACATGACAGGTTTGTTTGTTGACATTTATCTGCTGCTTGCTGTTCTACCAATTCCAATCGACAGAATTGATCAAAACGGGTTGAACATGTTTTTACAACGCTCCAAACTTCTCAGGTGAGAGTGACTATTGTCTGTCGGCAGTCTCTTTTTCTTCGGCACCCTTTCCATTTGAACTGCGTGTTAACCAGCTGTTCTATTATCGGCAACTCGAAATCAGCCGTATTTTGTAGTGTGTACATTTAATTTAAAGAAAAATATGACATAACAGGATTGCGCAGTCGTAAAAATGTAATCAGATTGAAGCTGAAAAGGTAAGGAATCGGCTGAATACATTCAGCGAAGAGTTTTGATGGGAAAATACAGTGAAATTAACGTTTCAATTTCGGTTGCCGAAAACAGTCAATGGGTGCCGAAGCCATAATTTACCCTACCAGGTTTATAATAAAGCTAAATTTTTAAATGCGTTAAAAATATTCTTTTTTTTTAGATCGAAAACAACAGCAATGTTTTTAAGACATGTCAATCAGTTTTAAAGAAACAGCTTTACAATCAAATCCATTGAATGTTGAAGTTTATCACTTACTTAATTTCTCACTTATTAAAGTTATAAAAAACTTACCCAATTTGAGTAATTCCAAGATCTAAAATTATTCAATATTTTGAAGTTTCGTATTCCATGTACAAGTTCAAGCTATTGAAAACTTTCAAAGTGCCAGAATCAAGAAAAAAATGATTTATTTCAAGTTCGTACGAACTTTGGCGAAGTAATGAGTAATGAAAAGAATTGATGAGAATTTCAGTGAAGCTCCATAAACAAACTGCGGAATCATAAGGGAAGTTAATACGCTGAAAATATGGGGAACTTACTGGAAGCTTGAAGAACCTCAAAGTGGTTCTTTTAGCATCCGAAAATTTTCGGGAACTTTTATGATGTTCCTAGAATTTCAGAGAACTTTTAAGAAGTTCTAAGTACCTCAGAAATGCTAGATCTAGAGATTTTTTTTG